TCTGAGGGAGCAGATGGGATGCATGTGGATTGTCGAAATTGTCAACTAGAAAGTCGGGAATCTGCTCCGGTTACCCAGACGACAACCACCAGCACACTGGGGCAGTCAGTGGCTGTCATGATGTCATCAGTGGTAACCAAAGCTCCAATGCAGTGGGAACCAATCTTCTCATGCAGGATTATGACAGCAAGATTCAACTCAAAAGGGAGGAAGGAAGGTCACAATTATCCAATGATACTCAAAGTGCTACAAACAACGCGAAACAAGACAAGAAGGAAGAATTCTACAGACAACTACAAACAGTAATGGATAAGATCCCAAATGGTGACATCAAAATCCTCACGGGTGATATGAATGCCAAAATGAGAGCAGACAACACATCAGCAGTCGAGGGGATCTCACTCGGAGAAGTCAATGAGGACAGAAAACTCTTCGCAAACTTCTGAACATTTAATGATCTGGTGATTAGAAGTGGCGTGTAAAAGCACAAGGATATATGCAAAGTGAGTCGGATTTCGTCTGACGGACACAACACAAACCAGATACACTTCATCTGAATGCTCCTCAAGAAGGTGGAGACGCAGCTTGTTGGACAAAAAGCCAAGAAGGGGAGCAGATGTTAGCTAAGACCACCATCTAGTCCAAGGAACCCACAAGGTGAGGTTGAAATCCCTCAAAACAACCGGACATAGACCACAACTCAATTTCGACATTCAGAAACTGAAAGACAATACTACAAGGGGTGCCTTCAATGCAAATATCACAGCAAAGTCGGAGACACTACGTGGCATCACTGAGGAAACCTGTGTGGAAGAACACTGAAAATCTCTGAAGGTAGTGTTCAAGGAAACGTGTACAGCTGTTTTAAGAAGAGAGAAGAGGCAAGACAAGGAATGGCTCTCTACGGATACTTGGGAGGCAAAAGATTAGTGGAGGATAGTAAAAGAGATGACTCAGTGCCAAGATGGAGAAAAGGTTGAGAAGCTGAGTTCAATGTACACTGCAGTGAATAAAGAGAGAAGTGAAGAGGAGTGCTAGGAAAGACAAAAGACAATTCTACGACACACTGGCTGGCGACTGAGGCAGAACAGGCAGAGTGCAGGTAAAAGAGACCTCAGAACATTATATCAGATAACCAGGTTGCTTGATGTTTGAGAGGAGATCAACCCAGATAATGAAAACAATAAAATATGGTCAAGAGAACCTAGTTAGCGGAGAGGAGGAGCAGAGGAAACGGTGAGCTGATCACTTCACAGGACTCTTGATTCTACCGTCACTTGCAACTCGTCGAAAAATACCACTACCACTAGCAGCACTCAGAGAACTGCCTTACAGTGGACACAAATCCTCCAACGAAAGCAGAAATCTTGAATGCTATCAAGCCACTGAAGTCCAGTCGGGAAAGCAACAGGATCGAACGTAATTCCCCCCAACCTGAAGCACTGAAAACGGACCAAGATACTCATCCAGCATATGTGCCCTCGCCATTACTGCAAAAGGTTTGGAAGGAAGGAAAGGTAGCTACCGATTGGAAGAAAGGCTTTCCACCTCGTCAAGCTGCCAAAGAAGGGCGACTTAGGCCTCTGCAAGAACTGACTGGCGTGGAATAATGCTCTTGTCCATGCCAAGTAAAATACTAAGTCACATCATCCTGGAGAGACTGAAAGATACTCTGGAAGCAAAACTCTGCCCAACGGAAGAAGCTGCTTTCAGCGGAAGCAAATCACGTGTTGATCAAACTGCATCTCAACGCATCGTCATCGAACAGAGCATTGATTGGCAGTCAAATCTCTGCCTCAACTTCATAAAATCTGAAAATGGCGAGAACAACGTTGATCACGAGGTTATTTGGTAACTACTCCAACGCTACAGGTTGCTTTGTCCGAAATCTATATCAAACTCATTCAACGGTTGGCTATATGATAATGCAACGTGTCAAGTTGTCCACAACGGAAAACTCAGTGAGGCATCTTAAGTGAATACAGGATTAGGACAAGGATTACTGTCTACTATCACCGATGATATTCTCAACTGTGGTGGACTGGATTGTTCAGAAAACTATGGGGAATGAGAAGACGGGAATTCGTTACTCTGACCGACGAGGAGACTCTAGAAGATGTGAACTTCCAGGATGATTTATGTCTAATGTCGCATAAATTCGAAGACATTCAGGTGAAAACCAACAAACTGGCAGAAGAAGTAGGCAGCGAAGGCAGGACTTCAAGTGATGCACATAGAGAAGATGGAGGTGATGAAGATAACCAACCAACGAACCACAACAAACACCACTCACTACCCATGGAAGTAAGTCGAACGAATTCACTTCAATTAGTTATCTAGGAAGCACCGTTTGAACTACAGGCATTCGGCACCGATGAGGACGTGAAAACCAGAATCGTTAATGCGAGGCAGACCTTTATCACTCTGCACTCAGCATGCAGGAGTAACAAATTTTGGATTTTTGGTGCCAACTTTAAGTCACTATTTATATGTGTGTCAGAGCCTTGACAAACGCGTCATGAAAGGCGTTTCCGACAGCCTACTGCAGACTTTTACCAACAGCTGCAAACTTTGCTGACTGGCTGCACACTTAAGACTAAATGATTGGCCAGAAATAATTAGCCAGAAGAAACTCTGGCTGGGAACGAATCAACCAAGATCTTATTGCTCAGGAAATATGCTGAGAAGCTGGATATGGATTGGGTACGTGCAGAGGAGACCGTTTAATGATATCGTGTACAATGTAGGCCATAGCTCGAATAGAACCCCAATGGGAAACGATGCGTTTGGCGTTTTTCTGAGGGCAGTATGGAGGAAGTGATGCAAGAAAACGAGATGAGAGATTATTGGCAATCGTGGATGCAGATATAAAGAACAGCAGAAAATAGAACAAAGTGGGGATATTTTGCTGAAGTACTATGTTCCACTTGGAACTGATTAATACCCAGAATGAGTGTTTGTTTAAGAATTCAAATAATTTATACACACTTTTCTGAGAAGGCTAATATCTAAATATGATCCTCATGCCACGCCACTCAAGATGGCGTGGTGGAAAAAACTTCTCCCTGCCTGCTGCAATTCTTCTACTGATAAGATTTGTAAGAATATTTTTTTCTAAGAGATGCAATAGTTTAGTTTACTTCCATGCTCATTTAAGTTTGTGAAGATATTAGATGGTCTGAGGCAATCGACCACAGGAAGCCTTGACCAGACCTAGGTTTCGTGCTAGTTGGCATTCACTAGTCAGTCAACAAGGCGTATCTGCAACCCTGAAGGAACTATGTCCCTTCTGAGATTCGAACCCGCGTCACCCAGTGAGTACTGCAGTCAGAGACGCTACCACGCATCACACTAGTTACTAGTGTCAAATCAAAATATCCACCACAGTCCTACAGGAGGTCAATCGCGAGCCCGAATAGCTCAGTGGTAACGTCTCTGACTGCAGTACTCACTGGGTGACGCGGGTTCGAATCTCAGAAGGGAAATGAGTTCCTTCGAGGTGACTGCAGATACGCTCTGCTGACGAGTGCCGACTAGCACGAAACCTAGGTCCAAGGCTTCCTGTGGCCAATTGCCTCCAACCATCTAATATCTTCACAAACAATGTACACTATGATGGCGAGCTACCTCGAATGGTGGCCACATTACAACCTGACTGATAGAATTCAGTCTGCACCAAAGAGAAGACTAGACGCATCACACTAGTTACTAGTGTCAAATCATTTAACTTTTTCAAGTTATCTAAATGGGAGATTTTCATAGACTGTATGATAAATATTATTGATTAATTGATTGAGAATTAAAACATAATTATTTCACCTTAGACACATGGGGACTTATTAATTATAACTTTTTCAGAAATTGCAATCAGGTGATTACAGTGAAGGAAGACAGTGAGTGAAAGAGTAGAAATTATTGAAGTTGTATCCTCAGTAGATGAAACGTGCCCAAGTGTGTGTGGGTGTGTGTGCATGTTAACTGTTCATAAAATCTGTTTAAAAACTGTCAGTCCTAGAAGGTTAGTTACCTAAGCCTTACTGGATGGAGTGAAGTAACACATTTGTTTTGATAAGGATTTAAGGTACTACCGATATGGGGATGAAGTTTGATTTGAGCGCATAACTAACTGCTTGAAAATTAAGCCAGATACTGTGTTTACCAGTTAACAGTCAAAGCACACTGCAGGACGTTACGTAATAAAGATAATCAAGAGAAAAACAAATCGAATCCATAGAAAATGAACTCTTGAGAGTTAATCTGATGCTCTCAAGTGACTGGCTGCAGGAAGAAATTGCCTGGAGTACCAGTAAGCAGTCGTGATCAGTAAGATCCACTCTCCAATGACATTGGTTATTGGCCGCACTAAAATCACGAATCAGCATTCGCGGACTGTCCATTGGATCAGGTCCCAATGGCTGAATGCTCTACGAGCTAGCTCGTCTTGTAACCGGTAGGTTGTTCGTTTGATATCCAGTGGGTGCATGCCGCCGACAAGTCCCATACTAGGACGAAACAACCATCTAGTACTCCATGGTGGGTTTTTTCATAGTTCTCTAACTGATGTCAATCCATGACCAAACTTGAAACAAATTAAATTCCTACTAACACAGTCTTAAACATTCATGAACTGTTAGATGACTGCCAAAGTAGGTTTATTAATATTTTCGAATGGATGGAGAAATAAACTGGGTTCGTAACCATTAGATAAATAAATTAGGGTCTTTAAACCACAGTGTTATTTTATGATACATCCCAAATATGACTGTGGAGACAAAGCTTATTGGCTTAGGCACTCAACTTTCAACCATGAGGTCCAAGGTTCAACCTCCACTCCACCTACTTGAGTCCACACGCGTGTCCCGAAATATGAAAGATGTGTTACTAATATTACAAGTTTAATTGGTAAATGAAACAGGTGTCATGAAAACACGCATCACATCTGTTATGGAATGAAAATTTGTCTTAATGACTAAAGTCTATATTGGCAAAAGGCCACTTACCTTTCTGCCAACTTTGCCAACATGTGTTCGAATAAGACTCCATCGTTCCATAGCTTTTCTCTGTCTGTGTATCTTATTACTTTGTCCAGATATTTGTGACAAACTACCATCTGTGTGTTGATCATTATTCATCTTAAATTGCATACTGTCATCCATTTCCACATTCTCCTGCATCAGGGATTCATCACCAACGTCATCATCAGCCTGTGGGATTTGTTCATACCGTGTCTGTTTACCGTCATCATCATCGTTATCAAGAATGTCTGTTCGTCTGCAACTATATTTCTGATCAGGAGAATTTCGTATCTTGAATAAGTCATCGCCGTTATCCGATTTCAAAGTAAACTTTCTAGGCTGAAGGAAATGATGGTCTACATTAAAGTCTTCGTCTAGCTCGTCATATCTCCCCTCCTGTAAGTTCGTGCTGTCTATTAAATCCTCATCTTTTCCTGAATGAAAATGGTCACTATCATCTGGCCTATTACTTCTGTTATTCATATGCAGGTTTTTGCTTTCTTCATCTGAAAGTCTGGGATATGAGTCATCTTTGGAGGTCACTTGTGCAGTTGTCGACGACTGATCTGTAAATCTACCTTCTATAGTAGTTCTCATATCCCAGTGCAGTCGATCTAGGGCCTGTGCAACACTGTCTATCTGAAAGGATTGGAAAGAGTTATCTTTATCCCCTGTATAGGTATGATCATCAAGTTCAGGAAAACACTGAACGGTTGGTGATATAGACTGCTTCCTCTTCTCCTTTGTTTGTTCATCCTGATAATCATTTATGGAGACTTGACTGTCTGGTTCTACATTGATTTGATCAATGCCAGCCAATTTATCTGTCACTGTTTTATCCTTTCTATGATCCAATTCTGTTTCAAAATCATCTCCTCCCATCGATTCGATCCTTTCCAAATTAAACGACTTTGTCTTAACTTGAGCTCTGTAAAAATCATCTTCAATTCCTGTCACTTGTGTTTTCTTCCACTTTGGTGATGTTTCTTCAGGCACTGAATTCCCATTTATCTCAACACTACTGTTAACGGAAGCCACATTAAACAGACTACCAGGAGTACTGGGCGTACCAACTAATGTACTTGGAGTATCACGGATAAGTTTCTTTTCCTCTGAAGGATGAACACTGTTTCTCCCTGAAATACTTCGATCCTTAGCCTCCTCAAGATTGTGAAAACTTGGTTTCCTGAGAGTTTTAGATGTTGTTCTTTCTGTAGTATCACCATACTGCCTACCTAGACTTGAAATAGTATTCAGCAGGTTTGTATTGGATGATAAAAGTTCACCCAGAGGAACTAAGTCATCTTCATCACAAGATACATTATTATTACTATTACTACCGCTAATATGATGACATGTAACACTAGTCCTGTACACCAACTGATCAGTTTGTACATTTGAGCTGATGTGGCTGGGAACTTCTTTTGACTGAGCATCAGTGATTAAAGGAGTTACGTTTCTACTGTGACCATAGTATTCCGTTGTTAAAGTAGGTATTTCAGCTGTCGTCCTTGTGGTTGTTGTTCTTGTTGTTGTTGGTATTGCTGTTGTCTTCATTTCCCCTGAAGCAACTGAACGATGTGCTGACTCATCTTCATCACTTGTACTATCGATTAAATCATCTAAAATATCAGTTTCTCTTATCGGTAGCATTGCTATAGTATCAGCTAATTTCCACTTCGACGGTGTACTATCAAAAAATCGATGTACTTCTTCATGTGGACACGTGCATTTGTCTACTGTATGAAAGTTACGTGCATACCAGACATCAGCTGGCCACAGACCAGCTTCAGCTCTCACATAATCACATGAACAGTCTAAATGACCTTCTAAATCAAATGTGTTCTTTTTATGATACGACTGAGGCAGATTGTTCTTATTGTCTATATAACTACTAGTATTGATAGCAGTATTATTATCCTTCAACGGAGACATATTTGGATCTAGATGTAAACGATCGTCCAGTGGAATTGGGATTAAATGACGCTTAGGGGTGACAGTTTCTTTTTGAGTAGCAGATCTATGCATTCTTACTGGTAATGCAGGTGGTGTTTCAGATGGTTGTCGTTGTTGCTGTTGTTGTTCTTGAGGTTTCTGTTGTTGCTCCCGAACATACATATTACCGTATAAATCCTTCGGATCGGAAGATTCCATTCTGACAATAGTTCTGACTAAAGCTGATGGATATTGCAAGCGTGTCCTAGTCTGATGATTATTCAATGACGTCTGTTGCATAGGAGGCTGATCATTCAGGCTGGATACCTGTAGTATATTATTATACATATTATTGCTCACTATATTCCTATTGTGAGGATAGGCAGTCGCAGGGATAGTTGTTTTTGTTTCCAATACATACCGTGACTCATTTGTCGGCTGTACTAAATGTTGTACTCGATAATACGGTCGTCCATCAGAACAAACTGAGGTGGATGGTGAAGACGGGAACAGCAGGGATGGATCATAACTTACAGAAGTTTGATAAGATGGATGAAATGATGTTGCAAAATGTCGTATATTCGTAGGAGATGCCCATGAATACATTTTACCTGTGTGTTGAGGATTTGAATCATATTTATTAACTGTACCACCACCACCCCCAACAGCACCATTTATACCATGATGTCGTAAAATGTTCGGGTTTATTTCACGCTGATGATGTTGTTGCTGCTGCTGATGTGAATAATAATTTCCACTGTAATGTCGAGGTAGAGTATGCGATCCGCCGATATTTCCAGAGAACTCTTGTGGTCTAGATCCACACATGATTCTTTCCACTTCACTTGCATGATCCCATTCTGATTGAATAAGAGATGGTTTATTATGCAGGGGATAATGTGTCATGATTTAGTTTATGTAATTGATTCTAGTATTTTCATACTGTAGAGTATCATGGTGATGGAATTTGTTAGGTATGACTTCAATAAGTATGAAAATCAAAATTCAACATTTTTTTTCATTTAAACATGATTAACACATAAATTTCAAATGTTTTTGATTACTGAGTCAATGTAGAGTTAGTTACATACTCTGAGAATGAATCGATCGTTATGCTGTAGTTACTGAAAAAAAAGGTTGACTGATGAGTGAGTGATTTCACTAATGTTATAATGATAGAGAGAAAGACATTCGTAACTAGTGTAGTTTGACTTACTCTAAAATATGATTGGTAGATTTTTAAGACAATTAACCAATCAGAGAAGAGTATTACTCTATACAATATTTATAATTTTATAGGCAATGGGAATGGAGTGAGCGTATGATGAACAGCTAGATAAAAGTATATTTGGGAAAATGTTTCTATCTAGGACAAATTAGGGCGAAACAAGTGATAATTTAGGTTTATTATTTTTTTTGAATTGTTGAATTCAAAACTGTAACCGTAGTGATGATGACAAGCATGTTAGTCATTCCTTTGAAAATTGATACATTTCAAGGTTGTCAGCTAGCTATAGAATACAAAAATTCTCCATTAATAACTCAAACAAACAAAAATAGATAGATATAGAGTTGCTTAATAAAGCTTTTCTAGTTAAATATATATTAGAAAGGAATCACAATGAGTAGTTTGAAATATATTGATTCTCCACTTCTAAAAAATCACCAGTCAGGTTTTCATTTCACTATCAATTATCAACTATCCCATCAATTACAGTATGTCGGTTAAACTTTTATCCCAAAATAGTCTAACTATGAAAACTGTATAATTGGTGTATGGTGACTAGCAGTGGAATCCAGAATAACGCGCATTTCATCCTATTTGGGACTCGTCATCTAGATGTACCTGCATTTCTCAGTGAGTCAGTGATGATGTTCACACCGAGTCTCGAACCCAGTGCCCATAGTTATAAACGCCAAAGCGTTATCCACTAGACCACTTGGGCCACGAGAGCCACCTCTTGTGCAACGGGTCATATTCATTTAGGTGAATTTTAGTTTTTCGCGTCGACTGATTGGACTGAAGTGCTGACATCTCAACCTGAGAGTGACCACCTCGTTCCAATCAGTCGACGGGAAAATCTAAAATTCACTTAAATCAATATGAAAACTATAGTCTGTTATAATTTTGAAGTGATATTATCCAGAATTATCGACAACTGCATGAAAGTAAAGATATTCAGACATTCACTGATATTAATTTGTAGTGTTACAGGGAATTTCAAGGCTTAGATAAAGCAAAGTTGCCAATGAATGATCATGAACGGCAAGGTCAAACGAAGGTCTGTAAAATCCTTGGATTTATTCCAAAATTTTAAATTAAAAAATATTTAAAATTCTCAGTGGCACAATTCTGTGTTTTACTATGATCTCCAAAACTAACCTAAATTTTTAAAACAATTATTTCCCTTTATGAATTTAGATAAAGCAATAAGAAGACGTAATTTGTCTAAATCGTGTAATGTTTTTACGCAACACATTTCAAACAATCTGATCACACACAGACTTGTCAAAGGAATATGTATGCATTTAATAAAGAGTTAAGAGGTGAGAAAATAGACTTAGTTCAAGTTAAAAGGACATATTGAAGGTCAAAGTAACAATGAAGACCACTAAACCAAAGAAGAGAGGTAATAGTACATATGCTATGGTATCAAAACAAAATTTACCAAGGAAGGTTTAATTAATGACGAATTGTTTTTGATGAACACATAAAGGTGGCTTAAACTTTCTAATTGCTAGGGCTTCCACAAACTTACGTCTTCTTATTGCTTTAACCTAAATTTATCTCTAATATAACGCTTAATCCTAACGCTAAAAGACGAGCAGTATTCATAACTCTGAATGAAGGTTACAGTCAATATCTCTTTTGTGTCTGCTATACTTTATATACCTCAGGAATCAAAATATAAGAACATTTGAATTTAGGAATATCATGCAACATGCAGCCTTTTGATGTATACACAATTCAAGGATGATGTTTGAAAATCGAATCATGGTAAGAACCTAACTAGCTATCAAATGAAGTAATCACTGCCTTCTCTGCAGCCTTATAAACTAGACTAAATTAGTACCGCCACATTTTGCTTGTAGTCAACACAATGCCTGCCTAGTCAAATTTACGTTTACGTGAAGTTGAACCGAGATGATCTTGTCAGTCGAATAAAATCATAAAACAATGTGGATGCGACGACTACAATTTCTCACTACAACCTCAGTCAGCACTTTTCCTCATCTCAAATAGTCCGTTAATCTAGTCTCCAGTTAATTTACTAACTGGAGAACAGGATGGAACATTGAAAAGGTCTATCCACAGAAAGTCGACGTGGAACGGACAGCTTACTAACTTTCACAGTTGGGTACCACTATACACCAAACGAAACCTTATCCGTTCACTCAGCTACACAGTTCGCAGAATTTGCACCCAAGACACCATAGAAGATGAACTGGACAATCTCAAGAGAATCCTGGTCGAGAATTGTTATCCAGAAAGATTTATTGCAAAATCTATGAATTCTAGACCAAAAAAGCCGCCCATGCTTAGCATCCTAAAAAAAACTACTCTACATGACTCTTCGGTTCAGTGGACATATATCTGCGGAAACACTAAAAAATCGACTGTCCCGTTCACTTAATAAGACCTTCTTCGCAGCTGAACTACGACTGATGTCCTCCACAAAACCTATGATTCATGTGAACGTGAAGGATAAGCTACAACTACTGGCCGCATCAATGTGTATTTATCAATTCACTTGCTCGTGCGAAGCCAGGTATGTCGGCCGTAAACAGTGCTCGCTTTAAAAACGTATCACCGAACACTTACCCACAGTCATGGTTTTACAAAGGAGAAAATCGGCGCCCCCGCAGCTCCATCTTATAGCACCTGATAGAATCCGGACACCAAGCTACACCCCAAACAAACTTCAAAGTCATATACAGAATACGAAGCAGTCTTCCTAAAAGTGTACGAATCAAACTTCTTCAAACTGCAAAAGCAATGGCAATGGCAATTCACTCGCTAAGTCCTGAACTCTGCATGCAGAAGAAGTTCGTTCAATCACTACACTTGCAATGGACGTAATCTGTCTTAATACCCGACAAGTAAATTCTATTTGTTTCTTTCTGTCTCTTCATTAGTATCATTTTGTCTTTTCAATTGTAATATTTTACATTTTCAACTCTCCTATTCTCTACCCCCACACAATTTAATTTCTGCACATCATTACCACTGTTACTGACTTGACCAACCCTCAATTTCTATTCATTTATGTTACGTCATCCAACTTATTTGCTCAATTTCAGTTCTAATTTAACTGGCATTATTCTCTACCTCACTTCTACTTAGTCTCTACCTGTAATTACCTCTGTCGTTATCCTAACATAAGTTGATACATTTAAGGTAATTGTATTACGTTATCTAACTTACTAACTCAATCTTACTTTAGTTGCTGTCTGATTAACCTCGTTTCTATATTAGATCATTCTTGTATTACCTGATCAATTATCTAAACTTGACAAGCTTCATGTACACACATGTACACACGGCAATGTGAATGAATTCGCCGAAAAGAGTCTCTTTGCTGAACGTCTTCTCTTTTTCATATGATTCAATGGGGATTTTTAAGCTACTAATTTACTGACAGCAACTTATTTGTCTCTTTTAATCAGCCAAAACTTCAAAATGAAAATGTATTTTACAAGGAAAGTTAGCTGAAATTCATACGTAACTAGAACACTAACCAGAAGTGAAAAGAATACTCCCAGGATACCTCATTTTGTTGTCTACATAATCACATAATGGTAATGACAATAGAGTATTTAGTGAATTAACACACCGTGAAGTGGTCAGCGCTATTCGCAGAGTAACTCCTGTTTATCATGTCTACCTGTCGATAACACTTCGTCGCTGTAAAAGTCTGTTTAAGCTAATATATTCTAAACAGTCAGCTGTTTAATTTCAATTAGTTATTATTGCTTACATCCTGTAAAGTTAAATAACTAAGCATTATGGTGCTTACTTCTAGTTTTAATAAGTAGTATGAAAAGTTAAGCAAAAATATAAAGACAATTTGAAAATGGAATGGGCGTTATTTAAGTATTTTAATGGATACAAACAATTCATAAAGGTAGATTTTGCTTAAATTGGGTAATATTTGCTCCACAGAAACTGTTCATAGATTTCTAGAAAGTTTCTGGATGACAAATTATCACCTGGTAATATTTGATCGGGACAAGTATATAAATTATGGTACAGAAAGTGCATTCCGTTGTTGTAGGTAATACAAAATCGATTTTATTATGAGAGGAACACAGAAAAAAATATTGGACTACGTGAACAGCAAACTAGAATATGTCTTTGTCGATCATATAATGTTTTATTGAGTGGGGAAAAATGCAAACCTTAGTCTTATAAGGCTCTCCTCAGGATAACCCTAAACATTTGGCTGTCCAGAATAATTTTTACCAACAAGGAGTGGTGCTCATAAAAGAAAACAGATAATAGGTACGAGAAAACAGGTATCGCAGAAATACTCGACTAGTGGTTCTTTTCACTTTTCTAAATATCTAAAAATCAAATTCAGTATGTGGTCAATTTGCTACTCAGCAAGCAATTTTAACTCCGATAGTCTATGATTCATGGTCCTCGCCAAGTAAGAATATAATATAAATATTATTCGAGTACCTAACCTGTCATGTGCTCTGATGGTGTTCTATTGACTTTTGCTGTCAGATCCGTCAAAAGCGATGGGACAAGTACGTGACGTAATGGTTGTGTGTAAGGTTTGAAGAAGACTGTGAACTATATGCATGCGTCTCACGCTGATAATACTTTGTGCGTCGGTGGAGCAGGGTTAGACTGTTCGCCAACCACGCATATGGTCTGGGGTTCGAGCCCCGAGTAACGCACTCCTTTACCTCGCTAAGACAGTAATAAGACTGGTAAAATGGATAGGTTAGGCATAGGGCTGGCTAGCAACCCTATCGCATAAAAGTAAACACCACTTCATCACAAACAATGTACACCGTGATGACAAGCTACCTAGAATGGTGGCCACATTACAACCTGACTGATAGAATTCAGTCTGCACCAAAGAGAGGACTAGACGCATCACACTAGTTACTAGTGTCAAATCAAAATATCCA